CCATCTTAATCGACGCGATTTTATGACATTAATAATATCCGGACTATTATATAATTGATGTAATTCTGCGTTGTGTAATTTTCTCCATTCGCCCGTTTCCTCATCGCGTTTTGCCCCGATGATTTTTCGAAGTACTTTATTTTCGAAAGCCCTAAATCTTTTCTCGTCTTGTAATGTAAGTGACCACTGGCAGCTTCGCTGCCATAAAGGACTACCGGTAAAATAATCGTTCTGTAAATTCTAATTTTTAAGCTCCTAGACAATATCCGCGAACCGAGTAGTTTCTTAACCGAATAGAAGCACGCATTCCCCAAATTAATTCTTATTATATTAATGCATACGTTAAAACAAATTGATCGCATTTTGATTTAAAAAACGGAAGAAATCTGTCTTTTTGTCATTCTACTTCTTTGTATGAAACGAAAAAGTTGATGCTTTAAATTTAATGACAAAGGCCATGCGAAAATTTGAAGAAATTACTAAAAATTTTACATTACATATTTTATAAATAGAAGCGTAATATAGGATAATAGGTGCTTTCATTTTGAAGAAAATAATTTACGCCTACGCATGCCTTGTTCTTTAAATTGATTAAATTGGTTTTTAAATTAATTAAATTGATTAAATTGGTTCTTAAATTAATTTTGAATTGAATATGGAATAAGAAATTCTTTGTAAAATAAATAATTTCTTTGATGTTACATGCATTTGAAAATTAGAGCCATTATTAATTTACACATATAAATATATATCAATTTATAAGATTGAAAATCTGTGACAAAGCACATTTTATTTACATGTTCTCTCTTGCATTGTCAGCTATATTATAGTTATTACAAGTATGCTTTTGTTTTAGACCAATATCACAAACATCTTGAAAGTAACAGATAAATTAGAAATAATTTAATTAGAAACGTAATCTTAAAAAACATTATGAAGTGTGTTGTATATAATAAATCCATGTTAACGTATTGTACTGTGATCCCTTTCCTTCGAATTTAAATATAAGAAATATTTATGTTTTCTATTCTTTCTCTATATGATCAACACAGTAATTATTCCTAAATGTGTATGTATGCATTGTACCTTGGTACTTTACAAGGTTTGCAATATTACTAAATATTAAAACTTTTAGGGAAGAGATGCATTGATAAAAACGAAAATGTGATAAAATAATTTGCATTAAAATAAAAAAAGTGAAAATTTATTATGTGTATCTATGTCCCGGTAAAAAATTTATTATGTTTGAATATGTATAAATATATATAAATATACATAAATATTCGTAAACTATACGTATAATAATACATAAAATGTCCATATTTGTTCATACATCCCTCTTTCTTTTATAAAATTACTTTTTAGTGTAATAGAAATAATAATAGTAATGTGAAAATAATTAAAAATAATTATTATAAGAGTAATTCTCACACTATTTGTTTTAGAAAAAAATCAAGTTTGAAAGAATAAAAAAAACTTACTTATGTATAATTATATATAAAATTATGCATAATTGTGTATGAGCAATTTTTTAATATTTTTCCAAACTTGTTTTTTGTTTTAAAACGAATGCGAAAATTTATACATCTTACTATTATTATTTCTATCACATTAAAAAATAATTTTACAAAAGAAAGAGATATGTATGAACGTAATTCATATATGATTATATATGTTATGAATATTTATGTATTTTTTTTTTATACATATGTATACATATTCATGCATGAAAAATTTTTTATCGGAGTGCCACTACTCAGTACCATGATCAAGTTCTTTATTTTGTTGCTTATAAATAATGAATACTATGTGTATCTGTGTGTATAAAATTTGTATTAAACTTCATTAACGCATGTATTGTACAAGGAATATTTTAAATTTTAATATCTACATAAAATGCGCCGCTGCTTGACTCTATCATGAAATATATTAATCTTAATGTATTTTTAATACAGCGAACAGTTTACGTTTAAGAAAGGAAGATATTAAAAATCCCTCTCTATGTAAAAATAAATAACACATCAAAGAAATACTGAATATTGGAAAGAAACAATAGATACTGTTTAGGATATAACAATAGATTAATAAGTAAAATATATATAATAAGATATATAAGTAAAATGAAAGTTTATTTCAGACAAGAAAAAATGATGAATGTTGACAATAAGGGAAACAGCTCCGATGATCTTGATATGTTATTAAGGTCTCATCACCCTGAGTAACCTCCGATAGATTTTACTTGGCGATCACTCTTCGTTAACAAGTTATTAACAAAAAAAGTTGCCAATGTAAATGTACATTTAACTATATAACTTAAGGCTCCTGACTAATCGCGGCGGCCATATTGGAATCGTGACGTCAGAAGCGAGAATGACACGTTAACTTATGTTGCGTGCCATTTTTAAATAAAGACAATTTGGATGAAACGAAATGAGATCACTTCAAAACACTTGTAAAAATCGATGAAAACTGTCCTTTTCTCCCATGACAGTCAGTAAATGGTCGTAAAAGGCACATAAGTAAGCCTATATTCAAGCAGAAACATACGGTCCGACAGCTATTGAAATGAATAAAATATACGCTCTTACATACAAAATTCTAAGATAACTTTAGTTTTCAGCGATAATTATGACTTTGATAAGTACGAGACAAGTCACATTTTTACAATTAAGCAAATAATAACGAAATGGTACGCAACATTTCGTCGTCAAAACGTCACTTTTTACGCCTATAAGTTCCGCGTGGGAAATCGTGGTGCGGCGTTGTAACACACACAGGCACGAGCTCATGTCCGTGTGCTCGCCTGCGGCGCGCCGAGAGTGGACGAGATAGCGAGCTCCTTTTCACACTAGTCGCTTGTTTCAAGCGACCGAAAATATTTTCTCAGCAATCTCGACCGCTCGGCAGCCCTAGATATCAATAAGAGGTAGGGTGCATCCTAAATAATATATAAGTTTTAATAAATTGTAGTAATAGTGTATCTCCTTAATCTAGAATATTATAAATCATGTTAAAACGCAAATTTTTAAACAGTGGAACACGAGAGTTTACGAAACGAGATATTTAATTGTTTACGATTTTTCATGCGCGTTATACTAGTATAGTATACCTCTTCTTCATAAATTCGAGTAGCAAGAATAGTTCAATAGAAGTAGAATTTTACTGGAAAAAAATTATAAACCAGCATTTCTTTTCACGAAAATCTCGAAAGGCAATCAGAAAAGAAATGTGTACGTTCGAGACTCCAGATTTGTGAAGAAAATATGCGAAAAAAAATTGAATAGTTGCAAAAAGCACACTTTTTGCTTATAAAACGAAAGATATTGATTGTATGAAAAAAAAGGTATAAAAAAATGTAAATATTCGAAATAACTACAAAATGAGATGTGGAACATTAAAATCGATCTATTAGTTAGTTCAGTAGAAAAAAAATAAAAAACACTAAAAAAGGTCCTTTTTTCACTCGCTCTGTATTCATTGAGATTTAACGTAAAGATTAAACGTAAAACTTTGAAATTCTTGTAAAATGTAGCCCTCATAATGACGAATAAATCTAGCCCTAAACAAGTCTGAAATGTTCATTAGTTTTACAAAAAGCCATTTGTTCACTAAAAACCTGTCTGCGGAAAACTTAATTTCTTCATCTTTGAGCAGTCGCACAGCAATTTACAGAGATTTTTCTTCTTCAAGAATTGCATTATCACGTACACTCAATAATAACAAAACGATTTTTTGCAGAAAAATTTAAACTATTATAAAACGCCTTTAAAAAGTGGATATTTTTTTCCAAATAATAAAATGGAAATAATTTCATTAATATGCATCATATCAAATAGCTGTGTAAAGCATTCGAAATTTGACATTTTTTTACGAATTTAGAAAAAAAATTACCCTCCGATTATTAGGAGCCGAGATAACAATTTTTTTCAAAAAATCACTGTAAATCTAATTTTTAAAATTAAAAGTTTCGTCTCGCAACAATTTGTCAAGGAAGAATTAAATTTGCTGTTGAAAAATTCTTGAATTTTTTGCTGCTGAAAAAGTTTGTTTAAAATCATTGAAAAGTTGAAGAACGCGAGTGAGTATGCTGAGCGGAGTGAGAGAAGCAGAGTTGATAAAAAAATGTATTAAAAAAAAATATTCAGTTTTATTTGTTTAAAACATGTTTTTAATATTTTATATATGTTTTAAACAACTTTAGAAAAAAATCATATTTAAAACAAAAAAAACACCTTTTAAACACATATTATCAAAGAACTGGAAAGGAGACGGGCAGTAGGAATCAAGCGCAGAAGAATATATCTATGAAGTGTGAAACTTCTTTATTAACTAAAACGCGCTTACATATTCGGGCTCACTTTTGAGACCTCCTCAGAGATAACATAAACTACAATAACATAAGTAAACTGTGAATAAAAATTATTCTGTTATGGTGAGCTCCCCTACCTCGAGAATTTAAATGCCAAAATTAAACCCAAAAAGAGTGAAAGAAAAAGAAAAAAGGAAAATGAATGAAAATAAGGAAATAATGGAAATATCGAAATAGAGAATATAAAAAATTAATTTATCAAAAATCTTAAGATTATAATTACTTATCCCGAAAATATCAGGATGAGCTTCCTTATTTTCGGGATAATTATTATAATTATAATCTTAAGGTTTTTGATAGTCTCTGAGGTCTCTGAGGAGGGCTCAAAAGTGAGCCGAAATGTAAGCGCGTTTTAGTGAATAAAGAAGTTTCACATTTCATAGATATTTGCGCGTCTTCTGCGCTTGACTCCTACTGCTCGTATCCTTTCCAGTTCTTTAATTTATAAGGAGTCTTAATATATTTGATTTGTTATACGGATATATTTAT